TGATTTATTTGGGAGCTGGGTGGTGGGCTCCTCAAAAAGCTAAAAGAGTAAAGATAAAAAATATCATACAACAAGTGACAATGGGCAACCCTCCAAATGTCTCATTAACAGGAGGCCACGCTGCCTTTGGGGCACCAGATTTATGTGTGGGTTTCAAGTAGCTTGTAGCAAAGACTGGTAGGTGACCAATGAAATCTCTCGCTTCCTTGGAATTTCTTCATCTCAGCCTGCTTGCGATTCGAATACCATAGGCTAGTGTCCTGTCCCTAGGAAGCTCTAGAGTCTGTCCCTGACCCCCCTGGAAAGAAGAGCTCGGGGCCCAGGCTCTGGTCCACCACCTGCCCTTCTCACTGGGGTCTCAAGCCTTCCTCCGTGTCTCCCAAACTGCCCTTGGGTTCTTCTGGCCCAGGAACCCAGAAGTCATGGAAAACGGCTGTCCACAGGGGAGGCCAGGTGGATGGTGGGATGAATGTGACAATCAGAGGTGAATCTGTAGAGGAGCAGGCCCCGAGGACAGGCAGAAGGTACAGGGGCTGGTGACTCAACTACAGGGCATATGAGGAACCGCTCCAAAGTCGGGAGCTCCTCCTTCCTGCAGACCCAACCTATGACTGTGCTCCTGAAGAGAAACCAGAAGCCAGGGGAGCAGTGAGGACTCAGGTGTGGGAGGGCTCTGCTGGCCAGAAACTTCACCCAGGGATCTCTCTCCAGGTTTCCTAGTTCTGAGAAGTGGCCCCTTCCAGTTACCCTGCTATCACACAGCACGTCTGGAGGAAGGACAGGAGCTGCCGGTCACTCCTTCCAGATGAGACATATGTGGCTAGTGAACCCAATTACTCAACCCATGGCTTCAAGGTTGAGCACTGCTTCAAAACACCCAAGGGAGGACTCGGAGGGCCCTGTGGGGCTTTGTGGGAGCCTAGAAATTCATTATTTACCCAATCCTCACCTATTGCAAGTGGGAGCCAGGGTCCACACCACCTCCAGGCAATAGCCTGTCTATAGATTCAGAATAGAGAAAAGCGGGGGCCTGATGCTCCCGACTCATTAGCCAACTTCCAATGGACACTCATCCATCACTGCCTTCCGAGAGGAAAACCATTAGTAACCTCCTCCTCCCCACTAGACTAGAACAAGATCCCTAGGACTGCCTTAGACACCGACATGTTTCCCACACACAGCCTGTACGCTTGCCTATCTGTACCCATGAGTGTGGACAGTATGTGTATGGTGTGAGCCTGCACGTGTGTAGCCAGTGTGTATATGGTGTGAGCCTGCACGTGTGTACACAGTGTGTGTATATGGTGTGAGCCTGCACATGTGTAGCCAGTGTGTGTATGGTGTGAGCCTGTACATGTGTAGCCAGTGTGTGTATGGTGTGAGCCTGCATGTGTGTAGCCAGTGTGTGTATGGTGTGAGCCTACACATGTGTACCCAGTGTGGGGTGCGTGTGCACCCGCATGCAGAGCTGTCCAATCCCTGACCCTGTGGCGGGCTGAGCTGCAGAGGAGGACAGGTTGCCCTGTGCCTCTCACACAGCTGAACCTTGGGAATCAGGTCAAATAAGGGTTGGAGAGCTGAAGGTGAGGGCAGCACCTGGCCAAGAAAGAGGAAGGGGGCTCAGTACTCGGGCCGGGAAGGTCAGGAGGGAAGCTCCCCCAGACTCAACTTCCTGCTGCTGCCATCTTCAGATAGTCTGCATTAAAGGGACGAGGAGGCCACTTGTACTTCAGAGGCATGACAGACACCCCTTGGCATCTGCGTCTGTGAGACTATGAAGGAACATTTAGATTCGGAAATACAATTGTCAATTTCTTAAAAATGGCTTACTAGAAGCGGTTAACTCTTTCAATGTTGCAGCATTTTTAACCTCTAAGGCAGACTGAAGCCATACCACGATGGCCCTGTAACTGTTCTAGTCCACATGGTGGCTCACAACCACCCATAACTCTGGTTCCCAGGGGATCTGACACCCTCTTCTGAACTCCACAGGCACAAAGCACAGGTCGGATGCACAGACATACATGCAAGCAAAACACCTATCCATGTAAAAAAAAAAAAATACATGTTAAAAAAAATGAGGTAGGTGGTCTCAGGGTCAGGGCTCAGGTCAGACGCTAGAGTGACTTCAAAGAGGATGTGGAGGCCGGGCTGCTATCACCACAGCCAGCTGGCTCTACGACATCCTGGAAGCACACGCTGATAATGCTCCCTGGAAACAGGCCACGGGGGGGGGCGTGGGGGGTGGTGGCTGAGAACCGGGAGGCTGGGGCCCTCCCTGCCCACAGCTGCCGGGGCCATGTTCAGGAGCCACATATAGACTGGGCCTGGGCAGCAGCCAGCACTTCCCAGTGTCTCAGGGTGATGTTATCGCTGTTCAGGGAACATTCCAGAAGAAACGCGCCTGGTGTTTATTCAACACTTGGCTTCTAAGCAGCACAGAAGCCTGCGGAGTGTCGGCCTGGGCTGCTGCACAGCCTGGGAGCCACGCATATGCCTGCGTCCCACACATCCCAGCACCCTCTGTCCAAGTGAGGTCTAGGGTGCCCACGGCCCAGGCAGCGGAGGGGGGCTGTGGGCACTGTGGGAGGTGAAGGCCCACCCACTTATTCCATCATTCATTCCTCCAATGACAGGGCACATGAAGCGCCTCTACCCACTGCCCATGGCTCCCAGCCCGTGGGAAAAGAAACATTAGGCTACCACAAGGCTCACACACACTGTATAGGTGCAGCACTAAGCAGACAGAGAACGTGGCCACGGCTGTGCCCTCAGGCTGCTTTTTCATTCCCTCGGGCCCCTGGCTCTCCAACATCACTGTCCCCTCACCTCCCAATGCAGTGGGGGTCCACAGACTGCTCATCTCAGAAAAAGAAATGCTAAAAACCCAAGCCCCAAGCAAGATGCCAAGACCACTTTGCTATCCTGAGAAACTTCGTATTCCCAGGAGAGCCATGAGCGGGCAGATTTGGAAATGGGACCCATTCCCAAATACTCATAGTTGGGTATATGCCGTCAGGTGGGGCACACCTGTGGTCCCAACAACTGGTAGGCTGACAGGCCACAAACTTGAGGCCAGCCTGGGCTACACAGCAAGACCCTGTCTCAACAACAAATATGGTCAGAGCAGAGGGCCCTAAGCCTAGTGTGACTGTTCTGAGCACATGCATGCCAGCTCACATACTGTCTTCCCCGCCCCCATGGCCCCCAGATCCTGGGACCAAGCAGTGTGGGGCAGGGCTGTGAGCATTTGGCCTCCACTGCTCCATTACGCCACCCAGCTGGCACAAGGCTGCCACCACCCCACAGTGTGGCCACGCCAACATGGTTCTAAACTTACCCTCAGAGCAGTAGCAAGTCCTGTGAGACGACCTAGTCACCCACCTGTCCAAGCCTGTTGGAGCAAGGGAGACTAGGGTGGGCGCTCCGTGTGTTCATTTATGGTATTTTCATCCACATCGAAGGCCAGCTGTAATTTATCCCAGCACACAAGGGTAAGCTGTGTGGTCTGCCCAGGATCAGGGGCCACGCTTCAGCAGAGTGGCAGCCAGGAACACACAGCAGAAATGTAAAAGGGGGCCGAGGAGAGGACACATGGCTGGGGAACAAGCCGGGGCCATACTGTAGCATGTCTCAGGTCTGGCTGGCTGCTGAAAGGTGAGGTCCCTCAGTGTCCCAGTCACCAGAACTCAGGAAGGCCTTCCTTACAACTATACACCCCAGTAAGGATGGGGCGGGCAGGCCCAGTCTTGCTTAGGACAGAGGAAACTCCATGGTCGGGGTCTGGGCTCAAGGGGGGCACTGCTTAGCTGGGAGTCCCGTACTCCAGGGCCACTGACTCTCCTCCTATGTTGGGCATGTTGTGCTAACAAAGTACTTGAGAATGGGCTTAGGAGGAAAGGTCTGTCTGTCCCTGGTAGCTTGGCCCCACAGTGGTGACATCACAGCAGGTCCGCTCAGTTCATGTGACTGAAAAATCAAAGAGGGTCCCAATGTCCCTTACATGGACACACTCCCAAAGAGCCAACCTCACTGGGCCCCGCTTCCTCCCAATATGGCTACCAATTTCAACAGAGGATCTCTGGGGACAGTCAATGGCATCCCCACAGCTGCCTGTCCCTGCTCAGCAGACACTGCTTCCTGCTGTCTCCTGTCCCCACTGTCTGACTACCCTGACCCTTCCTTGGTGGCCAGTGTATCTATCCTGAGCAGCGTGTGGCTGGAGAAGCCAGGTTCCACCTCAGGGAGGGAAGGACCAAGGCACTGTTGTGCCCAATGTCATTTCATCTGCTATGTAACTTTCAATTTAGCACAAAAACTAGGCAATTTTATGTTTCTACAGAAATGTATTGCAATGTAATTCATTCTATAAAGATTAGGAAACACAAAACCAGCAAACGCCCATCATTCACGCAGAGAACCGCTTTCTTAGGATCTGACTCCTGTGTCCATCCATATGGAGAGCACATGCATTGTCTGAAGTAAAATAGGGTAGCCACAGCTGATACACCCCTGCCTGTCCATGGTGTCCAGCCTCTGCCCAGCAGGGCCATCCCAGGCCACTCTCTTGCAGCGATTCCGAGGCAGTCCCAATGACCCCGGCTTGACTCCTCTCCTGCTCAGTCTGTTAGTGCCCTCCGCTGGGCTGGCCCTGACCTGCTGCAACTGCCCTGTATATGAAGTCAGCCTGCAGAATGCTCTCCCAAGTAGGACCCTGCAGGGTGGCCCAAGGCTCCCCAGCAGGCATCATTAAAAGGTACTAGCAGCCATGGTCAGACTGGAAGTCACATCACAGAGACCTCAGTACACAAAGCGCGATGAAGACGGGAAACCCTGTAAATTGTGCCAACCAATCTGGACGGCACTTGCACCACAGGTGGGTGTATGTAGCACACATGGTTTCTCTTAATGAGAATCTATTCCCCACAGCCAGGCAGCCCAGTGTTTCAGCAGATGGCTGAAAAGGCCTCTGGTGAAGCGAACTCGAGTCTGTGTCCAGGTCTGGTCGGTCATTCATTTTATTTGTTTGTTTGTTGGTTGGTTGGTTTTTTGAGACAGGGTTTCTCTGTGTAGCCCTGGCTGTCCTGGAACTTTCTCTGAAACCAGGCTGACCTTGACTTCTGCTGCACCCAGCTTAGGCCTATTCACTCGTATCCACTTCCATTCACCAGGTCACCTACGCTGTCCACACCGGGACTGAGGGCCTCATCCGCTCTGCCCAGGCAAAGGGTCCAGGCTCCACTGCTGCGGGTCCTCACTCACGGGGGCTGGGGGCCCTGGCGGTGGGCCTGAGCATGTGGGTCCCCCAGTAGACGTCTAGGGGGATGAGAAGTCACATTAGCACCCCCAGATGTAAGGTGGGGCATGGGTTACTGTGGGTGCTGCCCTCAGCCTTCACATCCTGAGACCCACTAACGTCTAACACAAGTCCATCTTGCCACCCAGCCGGGAGACTACGGGCTGGGCCTGCTCGCCTCCAGGCCGGACCACCTGCTTCCCTGCTCACAGTAGTTAAGGCAGTGAAGAGCCTGAGCTGAGAGGGCAAAGACACAAGAAGGTGTGGCCTGGATGAAGGCAGATGAGGTGAGGAGCACGGTGGCCAGCTGGGGCGTCCTGCTGTGACCAGGATCCCAAACAGAGTTGGGAGGAGTGCCCAGGTCTCAGGGACAGAGTTACTTGACAGACTCCCAGGTTCACACTGGTGCAGCCCCCGCAAATCTTCACATGAACAACCACCCCGGCTCTGCCCCCGTCGCTGGGGACCCTGGGCTTGTTCTGCAGAGGAGCGGGGCAGCTGTCCCAGGGTCAGCTCAGCCTTGGGAATGCAGGAGCGGCCATCTCTCAGTGGAAAGTGAAGCCATAGGAGGGCTCCAGGCCATGGAAGCCACAGTCCATAAATCACTTTATTTGTCCTCACCAGCGGCTCCTCCTTCCCCTTCCCTAGGTCGCAAGACTGCTTAGGCGGCCACACGGGTACAGGGCAGGATTCAAGAGCTGCTGGCACCTCTACCCGCACGCCAGGCTCCCGGATCTCACAGCAGGCACTGTCCTGGTCAGAGCTGTCCGCCACCTTCCAGCTGCATCTGGTGGGCCAGCTGCCGCCCGATGGCCAGCAGGGGACTGGCTCTGTAGGATGGGCTGGCCAGCAGCTCCCGAAACCGGGTCCTTTCTTCCTCACTGAAAGAGTGGACAGCAGAGGTCGTCAGCATGGGAAGGACGAGAACCCCCAGGACTCCTAGACAGACCAAGGCCTAAGACGAGAGCAGACAGCAGGGGCCCAGAGGAAGCACAGGCACAGTGCCAGGGCCTCAGGACTTCCGGCAGGAGGCAAGGGCACACGGGCTGCTGAGTGTGCATCATAGGGGTGGGGGCACCCTACCAGTCGATCTGAGAGGGATTTGTCAGGAGCTGCTGCCAAGGCAGAAGCTGACAAACAGGGAGCAAAGGCAGCTGACATGCCCCGAGGACAGTCTTATACAAGAGGTGCCCACCCCTGAAGTGAGCCCGAATTAGATGTGCACTGGAGAACTTGGGGCAGTGACACAGCTGTGGACACAGGCAGCTCCAGGGGCCTAGGTTCTTTAGTGACCCTGACCTCTCAGATACGCAGGAGCTTTGGCTGTCAGGTCCTCTCACCCTCTCTCACCCTGCACGGCCACCCTGAAGACACCAGCCTGTGCTGCTTCTGAATGCAATGGCGGTCAACGAAGAAGATGTGGGAGTCGGAATGAAAATGACCCCCATGGGCTCATGTTTGATTTTTGGTGGCATTATCTGGGAAAGTGGAACTGTCTGGGGAAAATTAGAAGGTGTGGCCTTGCTGGAGGAGGTGTGTCACTGGGGGTGGGCTCTGAGGTCTCAAAATCCCACACCAGGGCCAGCCTCTTTCTCTCCATCGGCTGCCTACAGATCAAGATTCAAAGCTCTCAGCTGCTGCCCCAGCGCCATGCCTGGCTGCTCCCCACCTCGATGAGCATGGACTAACCTCTAAACTGAAAGCAAGCCCCTAATGAGCTGCCTTGGTAACGGTGTCTCTTCACAGCAACAGGAGCGTGATTAAGATAGATGGGGAGGATGCTGGAATGCAGCAACAGAAGAATCTGTGGGGGCGCGGCACATCCTGGCGGGTAGAGCTACTACTCGTCCTAGCCACAGTGCAGAGGGAGTTGCCCTGGTCTAGGATGGGCTATAGCAGAGGCTTGGGGAAGAGTGACGGCCAAACAGTCACTGTCTATACTGGCTGCCTCCAGAGAAAGCTGTTGAGAAAGACGTATGTTCGCAGGAGAGGGACACAAGAAAGACACATGCAAGCGGGCGGGCGGTGGTGGCTCAGGCAGAGGCAGGTGGAGTTCGAGACCAGCCTGATCTACAAGAGCGAGTTCCAGGACAGCCTCCAAAGCCACAGAGAAACCAAAAAATAAAATAAAAAATAAAAAAAAGAAAGGAAGACACATGTAAGCCTGAAAGGAGTCAAGTGAAAATAGACTAAGGTGGGGAAGAGACGAGGAAGCCCGGAATGCACAGTGGTGCTCTCTCTGAGGCAGAGTCCGTCTGCAGGACAGGAACGAGGCCAGCTGTGCCTGACAGGAACGAGGCCAGCTGTGCCTGACAGGAACGAGGCCAGCTGTGCCTGACAGGAACGAGGCCAGCTGTGCCTGACAGGAACGAGGCCAGCAGTGTCTGACAGGAACGAGGCCAGCTGTGCCTGACAGGAACGAGGCCAGCTGTGCCTGACAGGAACGAGGCCAGCTGTGCCTGACAGGAACGAGGCCAGCTGTGCCTGACAGGAACGAGGCCAGCTGTGCCTGACAGGAATGAGGCCAGCAGTGCCTGACAGGAACGAGGCCAGCAGTGCCTACTGCCTGGGCCTCAATTCTAGCTGCTCAGAAGCTAGACACAAGAGGACAGTAACTTCAAGGCCTGCCTTGGTCAGAGAGAGTGAGCGGAAGACTAGCCTGGGTAACTTAGGAAGAACCTATCTCAAAAACAAGAGCCTGGCGGTGGTGGCAGTAGTGGCAAGTGCTTTAATCCCAGCACTCGGGAGGCAGAGGCAGGAGGATCTCTGTGAGTTCGAGGCCAGTCTGGTCTACAGAGTGAGTTCCAGAACAGTTAGGGATACAAAAGCAAAAACAAAACAAAACAAAAAAACCCAAAATCTAAACAAACCAGCAAACACGAGAGACAGGATGTATCTCAGCAATAGTACTCAGTATGTGTGAGGCTCTGGGTACAATTCCCAGTACTGGGAAGAGAGTTGAGGTTGTAAAATTCAATACACATTTCCAAAACCAAGAGTAACCATTAGAAAGACTTTAACCTATAAATTGAAGAGTTTCAGGAAAAATTGACACAGAACACTCAATACTACTAAATAACAGGTTCTATATAATCAAGGAAAAATAATTTTGGAAGCAGAAACAAAACAAAAAACCAAATAAACAAAAAAAACAAAAAAAAAAACAAAAAAAAAAACAAAAAAAAAAAAAAAGAAAGGAAGAAAATCCATGCATGGGTGTGAGACTCAACTGCCTCTGATTCCCCCAAAGATAGCACATCACAGCAGCTGAGTCTGCAGAGGCTAAAAAAGCGGAAAAACCAAGAATTTTCTGGCCAAGCTCACATCTTACTACAGCGTCAGTCAGGCAATGCTGCTATTGGGACAAGGTGTGGGGTTGCATGTAAACAACCCATGGTAAACACAGTCCCAGTCTCCATCCCAGAGACGGAGGGCAGGGTAATACCCACGCACTAGATGCTGTCACCACTCCCTGGAAACGCCTTGGCCTAACTACAGGACAGTAAAGTTCTTGGTCCCAAAAACGTCTCCCATCTGGAGTCAGAAGACAAACCGGGACAGAGAAGCGGGTGGCAGGCTCAGAGTAGGGTGATGGTGGATATAGATGAGGAAATCAAGAAGGCTCTGGTGACCCTGGCAGGCAGCAGGTACTCACAGGAGCTGCTGTCTCTGGGCTGAGCTCATCCGGCTAAGTTCCACTGGCCTGGGCTTGCTGGTCACCCTGCTGTGGACACAGAGAATCCAAGTCAGTTTGACACATTTCACTAGACAATTTGTCTCTGTGGGGCCCCCAGTGTCTACACCACCAGGAGCTGAGCTTCACACAGTACACTGGCTGTAGAGACAGGGTCTAGATGAGCTGGGTCACCTTGTCTTACTTCCTAAAGGTCCCATGTGATACTGTAAGGCATCACCCCAGGAGAGCACATCACATTTTGTTGATGGAGATTTTCCAGCCAGGCTGGCCCCATGGCCCTTGAGCCCCAAATGAACACACAGACACTGCATTAATTATGAACTGTTGGCAGATGACTAGGGCTTCATATTGGCTAGCTCTGTCTTAATTATTAACCCATTTCTATTAATCTAAGTATTTCCTCATGGTCTTATCTTGCTGGAAAAGGGTCTGGCACATTCTACCTTCCCGGTCTCACATGGCATCTGCTGTCTACATTTCCCAGAATTCTCCTCATTTCCTAGTCCCACCTATCTCCCTACCTCTATTGGCCACAGTGTTTTATTCATAAAAGAAACACATAGACAGAAGGACTTCCTCCATCCACATCTGAACCCCTAGTCTGCCACCTGCCCAACTGTAGGGGAAGTACCTAAGTAGTGGAGACCAAGGACTCCAGGCCAGCTTGACCTGAAACACTGCCTCAGGTGACCTAGCTAGGTAGCTTCCTCAGCCCCATTGGCTATATGATGGGGAAGGGTACCCTAAATGCCTCTCTGAGTATGGTAGCAGCAGCCCAGGCCTCATAGAACTCTACACATTGGCACGGAGCAATCCTGAACTCAAACTCAGACACTGGAAGCAAGAACACAGCCTAACCCTTGAAGTTCTTCCACGGGCAGACAGACAGGGGACTTCCTAGAGCACAGCTCCATATGGTGTTTCATAACTGAAAAATTTAAAACTAGTAGATTTCCAAACATACAACAGCCAAAAATAGATTCAGATCCAAATGCAAAATGAATCCAGGATGTTTCTGGCGGAGTATGCCTGAGTTGCATCATGTACCTTTATAGCAGCCTTGGTCCTGAGGGTACCCAGCATGCATTGCCAGCCAGCACTGCCTGACTCCTCAGCTAGGATCCAAGACTGTTACATGGGAGGAGTGCCAGGGTTCTTCCTGCACAAGGTTGCTGCCTCTCAGAGAAGAATAATGGTGTAACTGTGGAAACAAAGGCTTGTACCGTGTTCTTACCGTTCTTTATGTCAGTAACAGATCAGGGTGTCTTTGCACTGCGTTTTTAAGAGTCCTTGACTTAAAAATTGCTGTTTGACAACCTAGATGTCCCTCAACTTAGGAATGGATAAAGAAAATGTGGTACATTTACACAATGAAGTATCACTCATCAGTAAAAACAAGGACACCAGGAAATTTGAAGGCAAATGGATGGAACTAGAAAAAAATCATCCTGAGTGAGGTAACCCAGACCGGGAAAGACAAACATGGTCTGTACTCACTCACAAGTGAATACTGGCTGTAAAATAAAGGATAACCATGCTACAATCCACAGACCCAAAGGGGCGAGATAACGAGGAGAGCCTAAGCGAGGACACACAGATCTCTCTGGCAAGAGGAAATAGAAGAGATTTGTTTCCCCGAGTGGACTGAGGGTGGGTGGGGATGAGAACATGAGTGAACAGATTGCGGGGTACAGATGGGGAGAATACAGAAAGGGACTACTGGAAGGGGGGACATTTGGGTGTTAGGTAAAAACCTGGCACAAGGGACTCTCCCTGGAATCTACAAGGTAACCCCAGCTAAAACTCCTAGCAAGAGTGCATATGTAGTCTTAACCGGCCATCTCCTGTGACCAGATTGGTGCTTAGCCCAACTGTCATCAGAGAGGCTTCATCCAGCAACCGATGGAAAACAAATGCAGACCCACAGACAAACATTAGGTGGAGCTCAGGGAATCCTGCAGTAGAGGGGGAGATAGGATGGTAGGAACCAGAGGGGTCAAGGACACCACAAGAAACTCACAGAATCAACTAACCTGGGTTCGTGGGACTGACCTAGGCCCTCTGCATATGTTACAGTTGTGTGGCTTGGTCCTCTTGTGGGACTCCTACAGCGGGAACAGGGGCTGTCTCCAACTCTTTTATTGGCTTTTGGGACCCTATTCATACTGGGTCGCCTTGTCCAGTCTTAACACAAGTGCAATTGCTCAGGTTGGCACGTCAACTGGAGTATCTGCTGTGTTAGACTGGAATGACCAGCATTCCAGCCTCAGATCCCACAACCTGGCATCAATCTCCAAGGCAAGGAACCAGGCTCCTTGGAGAAACACTGGTACCAGGACCAGGCAGAAGATGCCCAAGGTGAGCTCTCAGGATCTGCCGACATCGGGAGGTGAAGAAGAGCTCAGACACACCCACCCTACAGAAGGGCAAATAGATCAGAGCCATTTGGGAGCTACGGAGAAATGCCGCTGGCCACTGCTGGAACAAATTCAGCAATAAATGAAGAAGTATTGGATGACAGCCCAAAGCATGAAGTAGACACTCAGTCTGCGAGAACAAACCAACGATGGGTAAATACTCAGCAAAGAGGCAACGCTCCCTCTTCAGCAGAAACTGCAGACCCTGTCCCTGAGGAGAGGGAGCATAGCTCCCCACCATGGGCCCAGTGTGGCCACTTCCTTCCCAAAGGCACAGAGTGGAAGGGGACAGAACCCAGCACAATGAAAATCCTGGGAAACACACCTCCATCGGGTGGTTCAGTGATCAGTCAGGCTAGCAGCGTGTGGCTGGATAATGTCATGAAGATGGTGCCGTCTTCATGAGCTCTGGCAACCCAGGTCTTTTCTACCCTCAAGAGAGCATGGACATACTTTAATGGGGAGGGTGGTGATAAAAAAAAAATGTTCAACTTGCTGAGTGGTGGTTGCACACATCTTTAATCCCAGCACTCGGGAGGCAGAGGCAGGTGGATCTTTTAGTTAGAGGCCAGCCTGGTCTACAGAGCAAGTTCCAGAGCTACACAAAGAAACCATGTCTCAACGCCGGCCCCAACTCCCCCCAAATTCCTGCCTCAGTCTGCAAAGGAGCCTGAGGAAACAGGAGGACCACGTGTCAATTCCCTCCTGTAAATCACTATTTCATTTTGTGGTGTGCATCCACACAGGTGTGTTCATACAGCACGCGCGTGTAAGTGAGTGTGTGCATGTGTGCATGCGCATGCCAAGGTCAACCTCTGGCGTCTTCCTCAAGAGCCCTCCTTTACTTGGAGCTCATCAATTTCACTAGGCTGGCTGACCAATGAGCTCCGGAAACCTTGCTGTCTCCACCCACGTGGCACTGGGTTACAGAGGCCATGTCCAGACTTCTACATGGTGCTGGAGACCGAAACTGAGACCAGCAAAAGTGCACCGCAAGCACCTGATAGACTGAGATGCCCCCTCAGTCCCTAGCATGTGAAGCGAAGTGCACTGGGTACCTGTGGGCAGGACAGCATTAGAGCTGGGAACCTTCTCATCACAACTGAAACAGTCCTGTGCGGGCATAGAGCCCCAACACATCCCTCTCTGGGCTGGCAGGGCAGGCTGTTTGTGCAGTTCCCCCCATTCTGGGAGCCCCAAGCACATTTTTCAGATGAGAAACTATAAAGAGGGAAGGGACCCTTGACCAGGGTCACATTTTTCACTTAAGAACCAGGAATGGAATCTGCATCGCTGGCTCTGCTCAGCTGTTGAGTCTTGACCTAGTGTCAGCGCTGAATCTAGCCTGAGCAGAACGGGTGTTCCGTCTTGCGAACCTAGCGCTCGGCCGTCGGGCTCTATAGCATGTCATCCACCTGCCCCACGGTAAGGGTGAGGGCTCACAGATGCAGTGTGCATAACCTTTGCCTTATCCTCAGATGAAAATTCTAAGATGATTTTTCTAAAAAGGTGAAATAAGAAGTAACAAACCTCGTGTGGCAGCTCACATCTGTAATCCCGACACCTGGAAGGCTGAGGCAGGAGGACTGCATTAAGTTCAAGGGTGGTCTGAGTTACACAATGAGTTACAGACCAGCCTGGAAAGTGACACTGCGTCATCGCACCCTCATTGCGACCACCCTTAGTAACAACAATAAACAATCAGAAAACAAACCAGCAATGACAGATGAACACCAAAAGCCCGGCAGCTATGAGCAGAGAGCCCAAAGCTCCCCATCTGCCCCAGAGCTCAGCTCTGCACTTTTGAGAGCCCCTTGCCCTGTGCCCATGCCTCATCCTCACTGCACAAAGAGGACAGACACACACGAGGCCTGTGCCTGACTGCACATGGAGGCGGGAACAGGCCAGTGGGAAGAAGGCATGAGGGAGCGCACATCTATGGGCTAGCCAGGCTGCTACCAGGGCTAAGTCTGGGGTGTTCCTTTCACAAAAGTCACCACATTCCAGGGTGAGGCTCTCTGGGCCACGTGTGGCTTGAGTGTTGACTATTCACCTTACAGAGACGGAAGCTTTCATAGACCACTATGGATCCCTCCCATCCCTCCCTTCCCCTGAGTCCAGGGCCGTGGGGATCCAGGGAGGATCACAGCTCTGTACGAGATGACCAGTGCCAGACACTCACCGTCTGACCTGCTGCTGCCGGCTGGCCTCCAGTTCCTGCAGCTCAGGCAGGGCATCCCTCAGGGGGTGCAGGTCGCCTACTACCACCGTGGCCCTGCGCCTTCGCTCCTCCTTGAGCTTCTGCTCAGCCAGCTTTATGGCTTCAATCTCTGAGGGGAGAGACAGGAGTGCATGACAATTAAACCCCAGCCCCGGCCCCCCCACCGGAGGCCACCAATGCCAAGGCACCCACGAAGCTGCATGCACCCTGGGGCCTGCTTGTTCCCAGAGAGCAGAAGTGTTCTTTGTTTCCCCGCTGTCACCTGCTCTGTGCCCCTAAAGACTTGGGGGGTGGGCCGGTTCTGAGTTATTTTTTCTTCTTAATCACAGAGGCACATTTTAATTACAGGGCTGACTATGAGCTTGGAAGTGCAGCAAAGGGAACCGCCTCCTCTGTGAGGGGCACAGTGCAGAGCCTGAGTGCACAGACATGGGGGGACTCTGTGCGGGATCTGGGCACACAGATGGGGGCAGCTGGCACAGGGACAGTGGGCAGATGCCAGCCCTAGGCTCCATTTCCACAGGTCACTTACTGAGAAGCCACAACGTCCTTTTTATCCTGGGCAATCTAGAACCATGTGGTGCCTCCTTGAGACTGCGAGATGGGGAGAATGACCTCATGGGAAGGAGCTGACAGCCACAGGGAACAAAAGGGAGCAGGGTGGGTGGCCAGGTGGCAGACACAGGACTAAAGGAAGAGAAAGTTCACTGCAGGGCACAGCCTTGGGATTTGATTCTCTTCAAAAGACGAATTTAATTCCAAATTGCTAATACTACAAGTACTTCAACTTCCTATTTGCCCGCATGTGGCTGTGGGGTGTATGCAGTTCTGGGACAAAGCCCCGCTGTCTCTGGGTGACATAACAACACAGGGACATTTATTGGGACACTTCAAACATGCGGTGACCCTGACAGAGGGGCAAGGAACCAGAAGCGCCCTCCTCAGCACAGCACAGGCAACTCTGCCACCGCCTACAGCTGGGAAGATGCCTCACAGGGCAGGTCAGAAAGCCCCGCCCCCAAGCAGGTCCTATACAGCAGTGTCTATCACTTCACCCTGAGGCAAAGACAGCCCTCCAAGCGCCCTGCCCATGAGAGGCTCCATGGATTCATAAAGTGACAATTTGGTGGGGGGAGGGGGCGGGGGTTCAGTCTAGCTGGAACAGAGCAAACAATTCACTTAGTACCTCATCAAAACCAGTCCCTCTTCGCTGAGCCAAAGTCTGGGGGGGGGGGGCTGAACTCCCTGGCAGAAAGAAGCGCTCAGGGCCACCCTCTCACGCTCGCACCCTGCAAACCCCGAGAAAGGAGAGCAAGGCTAAGGAAGACATGCGGCTCAATGACACACAAGCAAATCCAAGCCAGAGATGCCCAAACAGGGTGGCCCAGGGCACGCGGGGTTAGTCGGGTGTCTGGACGCTGTTGTAACCCACCATGACCCATGGCAATGCCGGCTAAAAGGGGAAAACCTGGTCACCGGATGTACCAGAAGAGATGTGGTAAAACTCACTATCTACTCATGGTAAAAGTTACAATAAACCCATAAGCAGATCTAAGACAGAAAATGTCCCATCCATCTCTACTGAGCTCAACAAGATAGCAGAGTCGACCATGGTCTCCTACACTCCCATCTGGCAGCTACCAGTAAGGCAGAGACAGAGACAGAAGGAACAGCAGGGAAATGATGGGGGTCAAGGCAGATGTGCCCAGCCTCAATTCCTAAGCACACTGCAACAGGACTTTATCCAAGCTAAGCTCAGAAACTAATCTAAATCCTATTCTTAAACGAACAAAACAAAATCAAAACCCTCAAACATCAGAGACAGGAGGATAAGAAGTTCATGGTCTCCAGGAAAACATCCAGGATATTCAAGACCCTGCCTCCAAGCATAAAAGTCTCAATGAACAACTCATTATCTTAACAGAATAAGCAGAAAGCAGGTCTATTAACCCTCAAAACAAACAAGAATGGAGTCCAGAGCAGAGTCCAGACAAAGACAGAGAAGCGGCCGCACCTGCTGCTGCCCCTCACTCCCTACACCTGAGGATGACACACTTGAAACTAAGTAAGTAGAGAAGCACCAAAGCCCAAACACAGCAAAGCCTTGCAGAACTGCTGGCATCCAGGGAAGGAAATCACAGCCGTGAGATGCTACTTCTGAGTTGCCGAGCATCGGATGGGCACGGCAAGGGTGGTAACATTGCGTGTAGGGAGTTGAGCTGTGGGTGGTGTGGCGGGCAGTCCCAGAGGACACCTGAAGCAGGAAAGTCGGATAAGGTCACAGACATTCAAGCGGCATCATCAAAACACACTGTTCCAAAGAGGGAGACCATTCTGACACTGGGGAGTCAACAGGCAGAGTGGAGCAAAATGGAGCAAGGGACAAGACAAAGGTAAAGCTTAGGACAGTTCCTCACAGTGACAGCAAAGATAGATACTGTTAAAAGTCCCAGAGAGTCCAGTGTAGCTACCAGACCTAAGACATGACCTTAGCAAGATCACAAAATGTAAGGTTCCTATTTAAAAAAACAAATCACTTGTACTTTTACAACTTTTAGAAGTTTGTACAAAACACACGCGCGCGCACACACACACACACACACACACACACAGAGGCGGGAGAGAACATCTACAATACTGATAATAGAAACTAAGGAAATCTAGACCACGATGAGGCACATCCTGTTCCTAGACTTGATTCAGTGTTGGTGACAAACCTTCCTGAAGTTGAAATGAAAAAGTAACAGTAAAATTAAATAGACACACTAAGAACCAGGAATGCCCAGAGCATCCTGAGACAAAGGAGCAGAGGAGGCCTTGTGTGACTGTCCGCCTGCTGGAACTACAGTGATCAGAGCACAAGCATGGACTGGAGGAAAGCCACGTGACTTTCAAAAACCCGACAATCCAAAGAGCAATAGTCTGTATCAGACTGAGGCGGGACTACCTACCAACTCACTGCAGACAGACGCCACCTCAAGGTGAACCACACCTAAGGACTAGCCAGGCTGGGCACTTTCAAAAGGGAAATAGCGGAACATCTTCGTGAATCTGGGTTAGGTGCTCTTTTGGGTGTTTTGTTTGTTTTGTTTTTTGTTTTTTGTTTTGTTCTACGAGACAGGGTTTCTCTGTATTGTTTTGGAGGCTGTCGGTCCACACTGGCCTCGAATTCACAGAGATCCGCCTGCCTCTGCCTCCCGAGTGCTGGGATTAAAGGCGTGCGCCACCACCGCCCGGCTTGTTTTGTTTGTTTTTGAGACAGAGTCTTTTATCTAGCACTGGCTGTCCTGGAACTCACTATGTAGACCAGGCTGGCCTCTAACTCACAGAGATCAACCTAGACAAGGCTTTCTTAAACAAAGCACATTTGTAACCATATGGAAAAAGAAATATGAGTTGGATTTTTAAAAATTAAACTCTTGTAGAAAAAAAAAGCCAGGCAGTGATGGCACATGCCTTTAATCCCAGCACCTGGGAGGCAGAGGCAGGCAGATGTCTGAGTTCAAGGCCTGGTCTACTAAGCAAGTTCCAGGACAGTCAAGGCTCAAAGAAACCCTGTCAGAAATTTTTTTAAAAAGTTAAGAAAATAAATGGGCAAGACAGTCTGCAAGGAATACAGCACACACAGCAGACCAGGGCCACAAGGTCCCCAGAACACACACCAGACCAGAGCCACAAGGTCCCCAGAACACACAGCAGACCAGGGCCACAAGGTCCCCAGAACACACAGCAGACCAGGGCCACAAGGTCCCCAGCACAAACAGAGAATCCCCAAGCTCAGTAATAAAAACACAGAAAAAGTGAACCTCAAACGAACTGCAAAGGAGATATACACAGGACAGCACTCTGCCACAGAACAAAGACCTGCGCGCCATGAGATGTTAGCCCAAGTCACCAGGCACATGACTGAAGACACGCACACACCACTGGTCAGCACAGCTGTGTGGCCGCAACTCTCATGCTGCGGAGGGGCGCACATGAACGACAGCGTCAGAAGAATGTCTGGCAGTTGCTTATGAAACTAAACATACACCTGCCCTATGACCCAACATTCCATTCCTGAGTATTTACATAAGAGGAATAAAAACACGTCCACAGAAAGACTGGAACAAGTGCTCACACAGCCGTACTCACCCCAGACAAGATGGAAAGACAGATATCTATCACAGGAGACAGGACAGCAACGACGGATAGGAACAGTGTGATGCCTCACGGCCATGGGCCTGGCCACCGGTGCAAGTAGAGCAGCCTAGCAGGAAGGCAGAGTACCGCCTGTGTGAGCGCACTCCCAGGAGACCACGGCAAACCAACCACAGACACGCCGGACACGGCACCTCACCTGGGCAGTCGGGTGGTAGACACACTGTCAGAGGTCACTGTTGTGCTAGGCAGACACACTCTTCACAAGAGAGCAGAGAGGAGCACGGACGAGCTAAGCGCTAGCCAACCTATTTGTGTGCAAATATACAAATACTCCCGACCTGCTTCGAAACACAGTAAGAAGACGCTGACAGGTAGGCGGGCATGGACCAATGAGTGTCTGAGAGGTTCAGTGCTAACACAGCCTCCGCCGCACTCTGGGACTCACACCGAAGCTAACGGCGTGAGGGGAAGACAGCAGGACTAGTAATTAGTAGCCAGGATTCTTGAACTGGAGAGATGAAGCTTCTTAATGAATCCAATCAGAAATAGCAGAACACAGATAAAAATGACACCACATTATAACTCCAGTTCCAGGAGCTCTGATGCCTTCCTCTGGCCTCAGCGGGCACGGGGGCCAAACACTCGTACACATAGAAAGGAATCTACTGAGGATGCAGGGCTGCAGACGTTGCTCAGTGGTAAACCCTGTCTAGCAAGAGAAGGACGCTGGGTCCAATCCCCAGGACTGGAGAAGGGTGGCGGCGGACACAGGGAGAGGAAGCAACAGAAGGCTATTATGTCTGAGATCTGATGAGATTAGGCTGTTTTAGAAGCGGTCATGAGCAATTAGAACGGACTCGGACGGACCGACCAGCAGGACACAAAGTTCCGTATCATAGAAGCAAACCTCAGACACAGCCAGGTCCTGCAGCCGAAGCCTCCACATTTCCTGCTCCACAGAGAATACACCGCACAGCCTTTTGCTAGGAATATAAAACTAGTGATCATTGAGGAAATTGACCAATTTCTATAAATATTGCTTCCAAAAAACATTCTTTTCAAGAAAAAAACTTGAGAAAAATTACCTTATTTTCAAGAAAAAATAAGGGAAATCATATTTAAACATGCAAGAACATAAAGATGAAAATGTTCCAAATTAACTCCCAAAGTAGGCAGAATCATACCAAAAAGATAACAGCTAAGAAAAAAAAATACAAAGTAATCTTTGTGATTTTCAAGTAAACACAGGAAAACTCTTAGGAAAAGTCACACATAATCAGCATTACAGAAAAAAAAAAAAACTACCTACTACAGGAAGGGAAGGGAGTGAGAGAGAGCTGCTCCATCTGCTCCAGATGCCTGACTGAAAACCAAGACCAAACCCAACCTCAGACGTGCCAGGCGAGCTGCCCTATTCCTGCGATCCCACAGCTGCAAGACAGAGGCACGGAGTTCAAAGTCATAGGCACGGAGTTCAACGTCAGGTCTGGCTGTCTACCCAGGGAGTTAAGCTAGCCTGGGCAGCAGAACACCATTATAAAATAACACCAACCAACCTCAGCCAAACCTGGAAGGAGCTGCAGACAGGCTGACCTTTGCTGGGGTTTGACCCCACAGATATACATGTTACCTCTATAGGTAGAGCTGTCATCATGGAGCTCAAACAGACCCTGTCCCAAAGGGACAGAGAACAACTTCCAAGATGGGTTTCTACAGAAGAGGAAGCAGAAGGCTGCAGGAGGCTCACGCTGGTCTATGCCCACCCTGGGGACAGACTACCTCATGATGCCCTGTTGCCGACTCCCTCTGTGTGGCCAAGTGAAGCCAGCCACTGAGTGCTGCCTCTAATGCTTCCTGGTGAGCTCTTCCTGCACCCCATCAGAGCCTGTGAGGGCAAAGACATGACCGGCATCCGTGGGGCACAGGTGTGGGGACGAGCCTGGGGCGAGCGTGGCTAACCCACAAGAGAAGCACAGGAACTTACTCTGTAGCCATCGCTCATGGCGAAGCCTCAGCTTTTCCTTCTTGGGCAAAATGGTCTTTGGCTCTGTACCTGAAGAGAGAACACATGAGTGAGTATGACGTCGGACTGTGCTGCTCAGCCCAGGTCCCTCCACCCCTGCAGAGGCTAAGGACAAAGACAAGGCAGGCTGTCACCATGCTCAGGTGATGACCTTCACCTCAGGGCTCAGTGGGTCCCTATGTTGGAACACCGCTATAAGGCTCCCCAAACCCGGCTGGGCCCCCAGTGTTTTTGGGGGAATGTGAGGTTGCCTCAGTGCCAGCATCAGGTCCTGGACATGACACTACTCCACCCTGCTTGCCAGCATCAGGACACAAAGCCTAAGAACAAAGTCCCCAAGAGACCTCCCATCGCTAACACGGCCCTCAGCCTCTCGTCTCTGGCTCTCCAGCCTATCTTGACTGGTGGTAGGGTAGCTTCACCCGCCTGGTTTAGTCCTCTCTTCCCTATGCTCCTGGCCTCAGGTAACCCGCTGTGGTGTGTTGGCACATCCCTACTGTAAGGGCTGAACTGTGTTCCAAACCCACGTGCTGCAGTGCTAACTCTTGGCTCTTTAGAATGGAATGGCAGGCAGCCAGGCATGGAAGCTCATGCCTATTACAATCCTAGCACTCAGGAGCCTCCCTCAGGAGGCTGAGGGAGGAGATATGCCACACGTTTGAGGCCAGCTCAGGCTACAATGTAAATTTCAGCTACAAAGTGAGACCTTGTCTCAAAACATTTGTCCAGAAGGAAAAGCAGTATGACTATCTTTGGAGAAAGGTTAGTTCTGAGTGCCAACTGGACATAATGGGAAGGTCGTCTCAATGAGAAATCGTCTAGATTATGTTGGCCTTTACGGGATTTTCTTAATTGGAGTGAGGCGGGAAGATTCACTGGGAATATGGGTGTTACCAATGAGGGGCTAAGCTCTGGCCTGAATGAAAAGCAGAGGGCAGGCTGGGCAGTCGTGGTACATGTCATTAGTCCCAGCACTCGGGAGACAGAGGCAGAAGGATCTCTGTGAGTTTGAGGCCAGCCTGGTCTACAGAGTGAGTTCCAGGACAGCCTCCAAGTTACAGAGAAACCCTGTCTGTAAACTCCCTTACTCCCCCCCCCCAAAAAAGCAGAGGGCAAGCTCAACACTAGTATGCTTCCATTGCCTCATTGCTCTCTGCTCGACTATGGATACAATGTGACCGGCTAATTCAAGTTCCTGCTGCCTTCCTGGACCGGAATTGATGGGACTATAACCTGGAATTGTGAGCCACATAAACCATTCCTCCCTTATGTTGCGTTTGTCACGTTTTATCACAGCAACAGGAAACAAAACTAAGACACAGGTCTTGGGATGAAGAGATGACTCAGAGGTTAAGAACACTGGCTGCTCTTACAGAGTCCAGGTTCAGTTCCCAGCACCCACGTGGCAGTTCACCACCATTTGTAATTCCAACATTAAGGGATCCAACGCCCTTCTGACCTCCACGGGCAATGCATGCACATGGTACACTTACATATATGCAGGCAACATTCTAATACAAATACAATGAAAACAGACAAAATCTTTTTTTAAAAGCACAGGGTCCACATACAAAGGCAGTTTAAATAAAATGTGGTCCTCTTTACAAATGAGGTCATCAAGGTGGCCCTGATCTTACTGACTGGTATTCTTATGAGGACCATTAGACAGGGAAGGCCACACAGAGAGAGACACCACCTGCCAGCCAAGGAGGACCAGGAGAACCAAGTCCTCCCTCTCACAACTGGGTCTCACAGTTCAGCCTCCAAAACCACTGAGCCATACGCAACGTAAGTCCCTGGTCCCTGCCAGTCATGACTGCAGGCAGAGGGCCTCTCTGTAGCCGAACGTTCACTTGCCTGGGGACATTTAAGAACACGGGCTATACCTCCACCAGGAACCAGACGACATGGCCCTACTTTTCAAAGGAGAAAACCAGGGCTCACCACGGCACGCCCTGTGGTAACATCAGCTAGACCTGTGCCAATTAACCTGAAGTTGGCTGACGGTGAAGCACAGACCAACGGGCTGTGAGCAGACAACACCGAGAACACTGATGGGCTGGCTCTGAGGAGCCTGGACAGCCAGCAGGGCGGCCTCTTGTCTCAGCGTGATCATAGCCCACTCTTAGGACAGCTGAAGCCAACTAGGGTCACCGCCTCCAGTGCAGCACCTGCCGTCTATAGTGACTAAGAAGGACCAAGCATGCAACTGAGACACTACAAGGCAAAACAAAAACAAAAAAACAAACAAACAAACAAACAAACAAAAAACCAACAACTGGTTACTGGGCTCCCAGAGTCCCACATCCTGGGGCAACCGGGTGGCATGCTGGGATGTGTGCATCTATGAGAGAAACCTGGAACCCCACTTGATGAAAATACCAGGACTGCGGGGGGAGGGGGGAAGGGGGTGAGGGTGGGGTGGGGAGACCCTGCTAAGCTGCTTCAGCCTTTGTTGAGGGCAGAGACTCTGCAGCTGGTGACTCGGTTCCTTTCCACAGTTACAGCCAAAGCGCTGGGGTCCTGAACCCTGCTTCCAGCCTGAAGCCGACCCGCCCTCCTGCTCTCCACCTCTAACTACTCACGTTCCACTAGAGGGAAGGGCTGGGATTGCGTGCCTTGGTCTGAGATGGGGGCTATGGAGGGGGTAGGTGAGAGGGCCCGGGGCTCAGCCATTGCTCCTCCCATAGGTCTGACGAGGCAGCAACCGATGCGCTACCCTGGACTTCAGTGTGCCCTAGAACCATACCCAGACTACAAGTGAGGTGACAGCAAGGCCTGAAGGTGGGATGGCAGGCTGGGGTGGGGTGGGGGGGTTATCTGGGGTACAGGGAAGCTTGTAAGAAAAAATGGGCTTAGCACAGCCAAGACAGCACTAAGGGGTGTGTGTGTCCAATGATAAGACATCCCAGGGGGCAGGAAGTAATTCTCCCTAGATGATTCTTAAAACTTTCTGTAATTCTGCAATTACTCCAAAGTAAAAATAACACCAAGGTCAGTGGAAACTGGCTCCAGCGGTAACAGGCCTAGCAGCACACAGCATGAAGGATGCTGGAGCAGGCCACTGAGAATGCCAGCTAGAATGTGACCCTCTTAGCCCTGCACGGCTCCAGAGAAACAGAACCGAACAAGCTGTTCTCGCAGACGCAGAGGGTGTGGAATGCTGGGGTCATGCAGAAGCTGAATGCCTGACACGGCCCTGGGGGTCCCGCTGCACTTGGCACCGATGTTGGCGCTCGCTCCCCTGCACTCTGCACAGGCTCACGGAAGACCGGCCCAGAAGCAGGCAGCAACCAGACAGACACGGGCAGCCTCCACGATGAGGACAAGGGAGTGAAGTCAGCTGGCCTGTGCTGCCTAGAATAAGCACACAGGATGAGCCGTGGCTGCTGCCCAGACAGAGGGAACCTCCAGGGAGCTCAGCCCTGGCTGTGGCCGGGACAACAGGGCTTTGAAGTGTGGCTGTTTCCAGGCTTCTCCATGACTACCGGTTGTCACAGCATCAACTGCAGCCCTCACACCACGAAGGAAAGAAGGAGACAGCCCAGCAAGCTCTCTGAGGAGTGATAAAGTGACAGGAGTAACAGCTATCCTGGGGCATGCCATCTCAGCCCGAGCTTTTCTACCAGAGAACTGGAATTTGAAACAGGTGCAGGATTACCGGGTCCAGAGCAGACCCAGATGCAGAACTATGACCCCCAATCTACAACTCACCCTCAAGGATGAGCAGAATGTTTAAAATAAAACCTGCGGCCGGGCGTTGGTGGCGCACGCCTTTAATCCCAGCACTCGGGAGGCAGAGGCAGGCGGATCTCTGTGAGTTCGAGGCCAGCTTGGTCTACAAAGTGAGTTCCAGGACAGCCTCCAAAGCTACAGAGAAACCCTGTCTTGAAAAACCAAAAAAATAAAAAAATAAAAAATAAAATAAAATAAAACCTGCAACACAGCTGAGACCTAAACCAACCACGGCTGGCCAGGCTGAAAACATGAAGACTGGACAGACAGGAAGGGTCAGAGCAGCAGTGACGCCAACCCTTACCAGTATCTTCCTAGCAGGAGATGGAGATGTCTCCACCTGGTCCTCCTGGGCTGCTCAGGACCCACAGCACCCAGGGAAAGGAGCTCGTACCCTGCGCGGGCCAGCTCTTTATTACCAAACAACTGAGGTAAGCGGCACTGGAGAGGCGGAGGCGAGAAGACCGTCGTGAGCTCAGGGTTAGCGTGGACCGGAGTGAGGCGGTTTAAAAAGCAAGTGGCTAGGTAGCTCAGGCGGTAAAAGTACTTGCTGTCTGTGGTGATTCTTTCTGTTTTAACAAATAGGGCTTGCCTGAAGATCAGACGCCAGGCAGTAGTGGCACAACACCTTTAACCCCAGCACTAAGAAGACAGAGGCAGGTGGATCTCTGTGAGTTCAAAGTCACCCTGGGCTACATGAGATTGATCCAGTCTAAAAGAGAAACGGGGGTGGGGGGGTTGGGGTGCCACAGACACCCTCACACCTTTAATCTCAGTCCTTGGGGGTCCACGCCTTTAACCCCAGCACTAGAGAAGTAGAGACAGGAGTGATCTGGCTGGGCAGAGAAAGGAATATAAGGTGGGAAGAGACGGGAGCTCATGGCGTGCAGTCTGAGCAATCAGTCTGGGGAGACAGTCTGAGGACAGGGCCACCCCTTTGGTCTGAGGATCAGGAGAGGTAAGAATTGTAGTGGCTGACTGCTCTGTTTCTCTGATCTTTCAGTATTAACCCCTATATCTGACTCTGGGCTTTTACTATTAACAGTTAGAATTTGCACTACAGCTGTACAATCCTGATGACCTAAGTTCAAGCCCTGGATACCACAGCAGACAGCAACAGTCAACTTCCTCAAGTTGTCACAGGACCTCCAAACATATGAGGTGGCTCAAGTGCTTGAACATGTGCGTGTATACATACACTGTACACGTTAATAATAATAATAAATTAAGTTTCAAAAAGGAGGGAGGGCTGGGTATTTGCAAGGGGTCATTCGAATGAGGTTAACTGAGGTGCGAAGACCTACCCTAAATGCAGGGCACCTACCGCTCCAGGGGCTGGAGTCCTGGAATGCATAAAATGAAGAAGCGAGCTCAACATTCATCTCTCTCAGCTTCCTGACTGTGGAGAGAGGCAGTGGCTCCAGAAGGCATCTGGGCAGCGATGGGCTGTGAAAGCCCACAGAGTCACGGGGCTGCCTATAAAGATGTCCTATCTGTGGAGTTTTGGAAATAAACAAGGCAAGGGTGTCCAAAGAGAGACAGCCAGATCAAAGGCAGAGCCCGTAACAGGACAGGAGCTGCTAACCACATCTGCGCACAGCACACACAAACAGGGTTTTATCTCAAAACCTACAGCTGCCTCTAGCCTACCTGCTGACGGAAGACGTGAGTGAGGAGCAGAAAGCCTCAGCCGAACACTGCCAGTCAAGCTCTGCAAATAGCAGAGATCCAGCCGCTCGGTCCCCCGTTCTGGGCTGAGAGACAGCACCCACGTGCACCCTGGCATAAGACTGGCGGCAGGCACAGAGTTCCCCGCCCTAGAGACTTCTGAAGCAGCTGGGGACAGTCGAGAAGGACAGAAGAGCTTCTGAGTCTGCTGGTCCCAAGCAGGAGCCATGAGGCCACCCCATTAGCCACGGGGAAGAAACGATGCCTCACTGAAGCGACATGCCATCAGGTGAGGTGGCCTGGGACAAAGCACGGTGATGACACTCTGAGCAGCCACGGCTGAAGGACCAGGGGGTCCTGAAAGCAAACGGGCACGTGGCTCCAAACAGACCAGAGCGCACGTGGCAGGTCCCATGTGAACACAGGGGAACAGTTAACATGACATTACACACAGGAGCAGGTTCAGCAGGCCGCATCTCGGCAGGCCCAGGTGTCCCTACAGATGCTTCTTGTTACGAGTTACTTTTCACGTAACTCCAGGTGGAGGCTGGGCCCTGGTGGTCAAGTATCTGCCACAGGGCGGCAGCAGCCCACAAGGCTGACTCCGTTCTTAGAGCCAGACCTCCAGCAGGACACGGACCCTGTCCAAATATGCTCCCCGGTCTCTCAGGACTGAACATGCAAGGACCCCAGGAGATCCTGATTCTTGAGAGAGATACAGGTCCCTCAACAGTCCCGGGCATCAACACCACCACAGGTGGGTAATCCTTACTGGGTAGAGGAGGGCGCTCAATATGGTCCACCACAGAGCCCAGGAGGCACCCAGGCAGTGGGGGTCAGGTGAGCCCACACCCGTCTCCTACTACACGTTCTGCTACTATGTGCTTAGACTGGGTCCGAGACCCCAAACCCAACAGGCACCTTCGGTCTGATCAAAGTGTGGCCTGTCATGCTGTCACAGGTGAAGCCTTGCTTTGTTACCAGCTCAGGCCAGGCTCTATACGCAGGCTCTGAAAAGATAATCTGGTAGGTCCTGGCACCGTATAAACCAAAGCCTCAGGAAGGAAGGGGCAACGGGTAGCCCCAGTTGGCTCCCTGCTGGCACACACAAACACGCGCGTCACACTCCACTAGGTAAGAGAGGACCCAAGAAATGTCACTGGAAGGACACACAGAAGCAGTCACCGGGCCATGCCTGCCAACCCTGGTTTAGTATCTCAACAAGATTTGTGCACCAATATGTCAGCCTAGCACCCCACAGGGAGCACTTCCAGAAGCAAGGGCCCAGCTCTCCCACAGCCCAGCAGCCAGCCAGCGCTCACATGACAGCGCAGGCAAGGTCAACTCATGCTGTGACTTGCTTCTAGAGCTGGTTCCCATAACTCCCTGGCATGTGCACATGCTAAGCCTGGGGGTTGAGTGGAAACAGTGAAGAGTGTGTCCAGTAGGTTCTGTCATAGCCTGACTTCACGGCCATCCATTAAACAAATTCCTAAAGAAACTCTCCTCCTCCTAGGGTTCCGTACACATGAGGAACCAGGACCTAAGACGGAAATGAAGCTTTGCTGCCCCCTGCTGAGCAGAGTGAGTACACAAAGGACTTGGCACTCACAGAAGGAGGACCCTGCAAAGTCCACCCACTCACACACTCACTCACACTCACATTCACTCACACATTCACTCACACTCACTCACACACTCACTCACACACTCACTCACACTCACATTCACTCACACATTCACTCACACACTCACACTCACACACACTCACACACTCACTCATTCACTCACTCATTCACTCACTCATTCACTCACACACTCACACTCACACACTCACTCACATTCACTCACACACTCACTCACACACTCACTCACACTCACACTCACTCACGCTCACATTCACTCACGCATTCACTCACACACTCACTCACACACTCACACTCACATTCACTCACACACTCACTCACACTCACTCACTCACACTCACACTCACTCACACACTCACTCACACTCACTCACACACTCACTCACACTCACTCACACACTCACTCACACTCACTCACACACTCACACACACTCACTCACACACTCACACTCACTCACACACTCACACACTCACACTCACTCACACACTCACTCACTCACTCTGCTCGGCCTAGGGGAGGTTGAGGGTCTAAAAAGATACAGCCTCCTGAGCTCTGGAACCTGTCGTGATGCCTGAGGAGCCCATGTGTGTGCGTTCTGGGTTTCCTGCACCACAGCTCCGTGGACACGTCACCGCACATAAGGTTCCTAATGACCCGTTTCCCCCCCAACTCCTGGTGGCCTTGGCACCCAGCAGCAGCTGACCAAGGGCCACGACGGTGCTGTTCACACACTTCTCACAGCCTTCATTCTAGGAGCCCCTGCCCCGCCCTGCTCTCCTCTGCAGGACTTGCCTCAGCCTGCCCGTATCTCTGACTCTGAGTCCAGAGAGGTGAGGGCTGGGAATGGATTGAGCTTATTTTCTGCAACAGTGGGCGGGGACAGAGAACTGGAAATAAGACTCCAACGTGCCTGTGGGTCGTCTCCGTACAGCACAGCACCAAGTTTGAGCTTCATGTCCAAGGTCAATAAAGGCTCATACTATGACCATCTGCTGGACAGGGACATGCCCGGTTCACTGCACCAGCTCAAGCCGACCACAGCGCGTGCAGGGAGGGGTGGGAGGAAGGGTGCTCACTGGTGTCTGCCACGGCTCCTTCCACCCCAGCAGGAGGAGAGGCGGGGCCGGGGAGCCATGAACCACTTCACATGGGGGTTCAGGATCCCACAGGGCAGACAGCATAGCCCATAGGACAAGGCTGGGCTTATTGGCTGGGGCAGGAGAGACCTCTGGGTAAGAGATAAAGACACACAGATCAGGAGCCCCACAGCACAGCTGCAGAACCCAGCCCTTCCAGGAGGCAGAGATCTTGCCTGTCACAGGAAGGCCAGCTCAGGGGAGCAGAAGGGAGCTGGCCCCAAGGCACCAAGAGAAAGATGAGAGATGACACCAGCAAAGAAAGCACTCACAAGGACAAAGGCACTACCGCCTCCTGGGGCTACACGTCTGTACGCAATAGGGCAGCCTGTGTGTGCACATGGGGGCTGTCTATCCTCCTTAGGTCCACGCCAGCTGTAGCCACCTCAGCTCCTGGACCTGAAGACCTGGGGCCAAGGTTGGCTGTAGGACTGAACAAGTCCTGTATTCAGGAGCACCTTCTCCTGCGACATCCTGTGCCCCAAACACATGCAATGAGGCAAGAATCACGGGCAAAGACAACCAAGGCTACTCTCTGGCCAGAGCTATACATGATCTAGGCTGAGGGGCCCTCCATATCCCCCAAACCCATCTCTGCCTCACACTAAAACTCCAGACCCTATGACCCTCTCAAAGGGGCACACAATTAAAGAGGCCAAAGGCACAGGAATAAATTCAGCATATGATAAACAGATAAGAGTGAAAAAAAAATGCCAATGTTAGGGCTGGGCATGGTGGCGCACGTTTTTATTACCAGCACCACTTGGGAGGCAGAGGCAGGCGGATCTCTGAGTTCAAGCCTGGCCAGCCTGGTCTACATAGGGAGTTCCAGGACAGCCAGTCTGTACAGAAAAACCCTGTCTTGGAAAAAAAGAAAAAAGTAAAAAGGGCTAACTACCTGGCAGTCACAAGGCCGACCTGTTTCCTGCCTCCTTGTCAATATATAGCAGCAATTTTGTAGCTAACTTTATCTATTATGTGCTCACAAATTTATGAATGAAATGCCAAGCGGCCTGGGACTTGCTTCAGAAGTGCTCGGTGTATGAGTAACAAGGGCAGGCATTTGGCACATGGAACTCTCAACACTATTCTTCCTACTGAGTCTATTTTAAATTACTTTCTGTAAAATAACATCTTTTTGTTTTGAGACAGGGTCTTTCTACATGGTTCTATCTATCCTGGAACTCCATATGTAGATCAGGCTGGACTCAAGTGCAGAGATCTGCCTGCCTCTGCCTCTTAAGTGCTAGGATTAAAGGTATTCAACACCACATCTGGCCTAACATCGGCTTAAAAGCTCAGGCTAGCCCACAGGCAATAGTCAGGGTGCACTCACCTCTCTGAAGGTAGGGAACTCACCTCTCTTTAGGGACACCACACTCTTCTGGTCCAGCTCCAGCCTCTGCACCAAAGCACTGGGGTCTATCTGTGTCCTGGCAAAGATGTCATTGTGAACCAATGTCCAGTCCTGCAGTCCCAACAAGAGAAGAGAGGACGACATCACGTTGACCTTTAGTTTCAGAGTCAAACATAGAGAAGAGGCAAAAATCCTCTACTTCTCAGCCAGAGAGGCCCCGGGAGAGCAGCTGTGTCCCTGTTCCCAGATCAGGCCTATACCTAGGATGTTCCTTCCTGCCCCGGATCAAACTTGGAACAATCAGGGCAACTGTGTCTACCAGAAAAGAGAGTGGAGCTCCTCTAGCACAGAGACTGGGCGTGGCTTCCACGCAAACAGATGCCCACACAAACAGATGCCCACAAAACAGATGCCCACAAAACAGATGCCCGTCCAGGAGCAGCTCTGAGGAAGGGAATCACTGCTCCTTGCAGCTGTGTGCATAAGCCCTCCCAGGAGTGAGCAGAAGGAATCTTAATCTTCTAAGCCCTCCACCACCTCTGAGGGTCAAAAAAGGAATACCAAGCACACAGTCTTCCAGTAGCAAGGCAAAGACTCGACTGGCCAAAGGGGCTTAAGAATAATCTCTGTCAACATGGCTTAAGCTTGAGCCAAGTTACCAAATTAAAAGGAAGATGGGGAAAATAAGACATCAGAGGCTACAGAGCAACGGGAAGATGGAGAAAGAGACGGGAAGAACCCTCAAATAGTTCAGCCATATTGACAAATAAAAGCTGGGCACAATAGGCTACAGCCTGGGCAGACAGTGACAAGTCAGCCTGAGCTATAGTGAAACCCTGTCTCCAAAATAAAATAAAATAAGAAACACAGAACAATGAAATAAAAATAAAATCCAAAACAACAACCAAGCAATGGTAGACACGGGTCAGTGATAGACCAGTTACCTAGGTTCAACTCCTAGTACAGAAAAAATAATGCACTAATTAAAAAATGAACAAGACGCCAGGCGGTGGTGGCACACACCTTTAATCCCAGCACTCAGGAGGTAGAGGCAGGTGGGTCTCTGTGAGTTCGAGGTCGGCCTGGTCTACAAAGCAAGTTCAGGACAGGCTCCAAAGCTACACAAAGAAACCCTGTCTGGGGGAGGGGGGGGACAAGACATCCAAACAAACAGTATCAATAATGACTGCTACAATACTAACCTGTTCCCACAACAAAAAATAAATATAAATTCAGAGAAGGAAGGGTCAGTATGAAAAATTAGATGGTACCGCTATACACTAGTGATGAATAATCTGCCTCCAAAATTCAGGGAAAAAATTTCATCGGTAACAGCATCAAAAATAAAATATTACCAGCCAATGGTGACACATGCCTTTAATCCTAGCACTCGGGAGGCAGAGGCAGGCGGATCTCTGTGAGTTCGAGGCCAGCCTGGTCTACAGAGTGAGTTCCAGGACAGCCTCCAAAGCCACAGAGAAACCTTGTCTCGAAAAAAACCAAAAAAAAAAAAAAAAAAAAAAAACTGCAACATATATTATTTAAAGGGATAAATGGTAAGTCATCTTGTTTTCATGAACTTAAAGATCAAATATTCTTAAGAAGGCTCCATCTCCTAAACTGCTCTAAATATTAGCTAAAGCTCCATCATATGTCTAGCAAGAAGGCTCAGTGGGCAAAGATACTGGCCACCAAATTCAATCCCCAGAACCACATAAAGGGAGAGAACTGACTCCCATGAGCTGCCCTCTGTCCTCTACACACATGCCTGGCACACATGTGTCCACATGTAGACACAGTCAACATATTAAAAAAAAAAATCCCCACTAAGCCAGATGTTGGTGGTGCACACCTTTAGTCCCAGCTCTCGGGAGGCTGAGGCAAGCAGATCTCTGAGAGTTCGAGGCCAGCCTGCGCTACATAACAAGTTCCAGGACAGCCTCCAAACCAATACAGAGAAACCCTGTCTCAAAAAACCAAAAAATCCACATTAGATGTCCTTTTTTGCAAAAATTGACTCATTGACACCAACGGGAATGCAATCCATAGGGAATGCAAGAGACGCAGCGGGAGACGCGGAAGAGTCACATGGTCCTGTAAAAGGTGTTTGAGGACATACATCTCTAGAGCTAAAACTCACTCAAAACCAGCTAATCCAAGTTGTGTGATGCTGCCATAAAGACCAATGGGACAAACCTGAGTCAAAGCCGGGCGTTGGTGGCACACGCCTTTAATCCCAGCACTCGGGAGGCAGAAGCAGGCGGATCTCTGTGAGTTCGAGACCAGCCTGGTCTACAGAGCTAGTTCCAGGACAGCCTCCAAAACAATACAGAGAAACCCTGTCTCGGAAGAAAAAAAAAAAAACTGAGTTAAAACCAAGACTCTAGAGCCAGGTTTTGGCAAACACGGGCAAGTCCACTAAGGAGCTGGGCACCCTCCAGGATTTATTAACTCTTAAGAAATCCTATCTAGCGGGGCTTTAACTGCAGCACTTGGGAGGTAGAGGCAGGTGGATCTCTGTGAGTTTCAGATCAGCCTGGTCTACATAGTGAGTTCCAGGACAGCCAGAACTACAGAGAGATACCCTGTCTCAAACAAACAAGGGGGGGGGAGGAAAGGAGGGAGGGAGGACGGAGGGAAGGAAGCAAGCAATCTCATCCGGGAGCTAGAGAAAGGGATGGCTCACTGACTAAGAGCACTTGCTGTCTCGCAGAGGACCTATGTTTGGTTTCCAGCACCCCCATGGTGGCACACAACCATCCCTAACTCTAGTTCCAGGGGATCCACACACGTCCTCTCCAGCTTCTAACAGTGCCAGACACACGTGTGGTATATGCATACGTGCACTCAAAACACACACATAAAATAAAACCTCATCTGATGCAACCACAAATGAGATTGTGTCAGCTTTACAGGTTTGTTACACAGGGTACACAGTAAATGCTTGACAAAAAAAAAAAAAAGAGCTTTAGCATTACAATTGGGAAGCCACTGACCCCACGGTCCAAAGGCGTCCCCTCTGCTGCTTCTATGCAAACCAGAAAATACTGCCAAGGCAGCTGAAGGAGAAGCACCAGGCAAATATGTGGATATATAGTGCAACGCTGACGAAGCCTGACAATATCGTGCTGAGTCAAAGAACACAACACAAGAGACCACAACCCCCTCCATTCTCACACTGTCCACAGCACAGGCCAAAGGAAGATTCCTGGTCGCAGGTATAAGTGGGGCCGTATATGACTGTAAAGAGAACAGGCTTCTTTTCAGGTCACCTAACTTCAGGAACTTCTCCTTTCCTCAAAGCCGGGAGCGACTTTAAAGAGCTGCAGCATCTCCACAGCGTGGTGGGATGCTCTCCTCCAGCAAGGGAGCGCTTCTGGAGCCGCACACTTCAACCTGGAGACCCCAGCCATGCAGCCATGCAGGGCCCCTGCTCCGCAGGACCACCGCTCTATGGAGATCCCTCTCAGCGGAGACCTGGCCCGGGCCCGACCCGCGCCCCACACCTCACCTTTGCCCCGGCTCCGCCCGCCGAGCCTAGAGGGAGGGCGGGCTCCAAGGCGCGGGGCACAGGGCCGGGCGCAGCCTCCCCGTCGAGCCTCACGGCCGCCCGGTGCACACGTGCTCGCAGCGCCCTCACTTTCCCCATCTTCGCAGGAAGACTCCGCCGGGTAGCAGCGCCGCCGCACTAGCGGAAGCGCCTCCCGGAAGTACTCCCTGCGGGGCGGAAATCGAAGCCAGGGCGGGGCAGATCTGTGTTCCGCCGAATTCCGGAAGTACCTCCCGTCTTAAGGGCGCCGTCGCGGTGCTTACAGCCGAGTCCGGGCTGCCAGCAAGTTACAAGTGCGCCGACGTGGCTGCTGTAGGACCCTTGGTCTTGCAAAAAGCCAGGGAAGTAAAGGCGACAGAGGCCTCGGGTGCTGATGACGAGAAGCGGCATGTTTCTATGGGGGCGAGCCTGGGGCAGAGCAGGGAGACAGGGTCACGCTGGGGCCTCGGCCAAGTTTTACTCGTGCGAGTCTCTGTGCAGTTTCGTCCTCAGAACGGGTCCTGGGGGTTGGACTTTACCCGTCCACTTAAATGGGAGCCAGGCGGGGAATGACTTGGCGACCTCCGTCTTCCTCCCTGCACAGTCGGCCCCCGTGCACCCAGCACGGTATTGCTTAGGGACAGCAGGGCTGGAGTGAGGTGAGTCCCACAGTTCACCTAAATGACACCTGTACAAAAAAAGTAGGCTAATGGTTGGGGCCACAAAGGAAAGCTGACCCAGGCGCAGCCAGGGTAGTGGCCTTCCGCCCTCGTCCTTTCTTCTGCGGTAGAGGGCGTCCTAGGCCCGGGCCCCAGGTGCAGGGTGAGCTGCTAAAGATCGGTTCCCGGGGCTTAGGAGTCCGCACTCTGATCCCAAGGAGTGCGCGAGCCCACCAGGGGGCGCTAGCTAATTCTTTGGATTCCTCAGCTCCTTTTCCCGTCACTCGGGGGCGCTCGTGTCCCGCTGGCCTGGCTTCAGCCAGACTGAGTAGAAAGGATTGCACGTCTCTGGCCAGCCCCGCCCTTCGGGCCTGGTGCCACCACCGAGCTCCAGGTTCACCTTACTATCCTGAGCCTGGAGGCTGGGGGTGGGTGTGAACCACGCCTGCAGGCCCATCCACTGATACAGCTACGGGGGGGTGGGGGGGGAGACGACGGGGGACGGACACACGACACTGTACCGTAGCGCCTGGCCTGGGACACACAGCTGCCTAGCCAGCTGCAATCAGCGGAGTACCCTGGGTCCAGATCGGTGTGTGTCCCACCCCCGGCGTCCAGCCCCAGCCCCCTCTGCCTGAATCCAGGTCGCCTTTTAAAGCCGACTATGGGGTCTGCCAGTCAGCACCAGGCTATGTGAGAAAATCCTCGAATGTGGCGATAGCTTAGAAAAAGTTCTTATCTAATAGTTAAACTTTTTTTTTATCTGAGGGTGAAAAATAAACACAGACGCTTTCTGATGGCAACTTCATCTTGAAAAATCCTCGCTTAAAAAATCTCCCTTGCTCCTTCCCAGTTTCTTAATTAGCTCTACACCCCCCCCAGCTCTCTCTACTCAGCAGATTCTCCCTAATTAGTTATGCATCCTTCTCTTTGCTCTCTCTCTCTCTCTCTCTGCCCCCTCCTAATGCTGTCTTTCTTCCTCTGCATCACTGCTGCTGCCTGCCCTTCTGCCTCTCTAACTTCTCACCTCCTTCTCTGTCCTCTGCCTCTTCGATGCTGTCTCGTCCCTCTCCTAGCCAAACTCTGGACAATTTCAGGTTGTTTTACAGGGCCCTACCCAAAACTCAAAACATAAGTAAAGTCACATGGTTTCTCTCAGGCTGGGAATGTCACAATGACCCATGCCTGAAACTCTAAGTTGGTGAGGGTTCCCAGACAGAAAACGACATTGGAAATCAAGACTTAACCATAACAATTAGTTAGCCGGACCTTGAGACTGGGACTAAGTGCAGACTAAAGTTGCTTCGAGCTCTGACTTTGAATCAGTAAACACCACCTGGGGAAATGACCTTTCGTGTTTGTGTCTAGGGGCAAGCAGACTGCTTTGACTCTTCTCTGAAGTCTAAAGGTAGCTGTCTTTGTGACAGAAAACTGCGTCAGTCTGAGTAATGTAAAACATCCTAGTACTATTCCTGTCAATCAATATTACACAACTGAAGTAGAAAGTCGTCTTCTGACCATCCATAGCTATATGTGTGCCAAACAAGTATAAAACACACGGCCAAGGCGCCTGTGGAAAGAACCCCACAGCTGTTCTTATTAGGGAGATATAGCTGTGCTAGAGAAACTTATGTTTAGAAAACAACCAGTCATTCCCAATCAATAATCCCATGGCCATTTTGCCAAGCAGGGTGCCCAATGACGTCTGGTGAGTCAGCTTTACCAAGTAGGACTCTCCAACAATGTCTAGTGGGTCAACTTGTTAAATACTAGTTGTCACTGCTGTACAGTCCCACAGCCCTCTGCAACCTCTGCCTGGCTCGCATCAGGGAGTTCTGCCAACACTCTCCTGACGATGTCGGCAGCTGTGTCCCAGTGTTGGTGGAAACCATACACGGAACAGGAAACGGTGGTTGGTGAGAACTGGGGAGAGAAGTGGCAAAGGGCAAGCAGAGGTCTAACCTAGGTGGGGCCTGGGCTGGGGCCTGGGCTGGGGCCTGGGCTGGGGCCTGGGCTGGGGCTGGGCTGAGGCCTGGGCTGGGGCCTGGGCTGGGGCCTGGGCTGGGGCCTGGGCTGAGGCCTGGGCTGGGGCCTGGGCTGAGGCCTGGGCTGGGGCCTGGGCTGAGGCCTGGGCTGGGGCCTGGGCTGGGGCCTGCCCTATGGCCTCTCCCATGAGCTTCTGACGGCACCACAGACAAGTCAGCGTGGCCTTTGGGGTGGAGGGAGCAGGATTAATGGGAAAGTATTTTTGCCTTCATATTTTGGTAATGAAAATATTAGTCCCTCCCTATTCCCTCTATCCCACATAGTCTGTATTACAGATTAATTTTTAATCAATTCTTTTTTATTTTTTTACTTTTTATTTTATTTTAATGGTCTTTTGGGTTTTGTTTTTTGTTTTTGAGACAGGGTTTCTCTGTGTAGCCCTGGATGTCCCAGAACTCACTTGGTAGATCAGGCTGGCCTCAAACTCATATAGATCTGTCTGCTTCTACTTCCTGAGTACTGGGACCAAAGGCATGTGCCACCATGCCCAACTTTAGTTAATTCTTAGCCCTTTTGTTGTTCTGAACACACAAATATTGTTCAGTGATAAACTATTTTGGGGTACAACTTTCTGGCTTTCCTCTAGAGTTGCTTAACTTTTACCTTGCTCAACCTCTTCTGACTAAGAGCCACATTTCCCCACCCTCAGGAAAATCTGTAAAATGATTCTCAGAATAACGTCCACATAATCCAGCCTGTAGATCAGTCTGTCCTAGGAGGACTAGGAAGTGAATTTAGGTCTAACAGTCCTATGTGGGCCAAAGTCCTGCCCCTCTTGAATACTGTGGCATCTTTTGGCAACTCAAGGAAGCAAGAATTTGGCTTCTTTGGGTGCTTCCACAAAGAGGAAGACAAGGGAGAGACTGTGTGGGGGAAGTGGTTGGGTAAGGAGCCATTGTGGTCAGGACCAAGAGGGCATGGGGACAGCCTGCTTCTTTCTTCCTTCCTGCCCAAATACCTGGCTACCCAGCTCTGGGATGCTGGGATCCCCTCGAGCCTGTTGGTGTGGTTCAAAAGGACCCAGTGAGAAGGAGCCCAGAACACTGCTTGTCACCCACAGGTTTCCTGTGCCGCCTCCTCCTCTCACCTCCTCTGGCAGAGGAGGCACCCGCCCCTGGTTCACCACAGAGGTGGCCAGCGCTAAATCTATGCTGCAAAAGGAAGTCTCTAGGGGGGGAAGGAGTCAAAGAGAAAGAGGCAGAGATGGGGGCAGGGCATCGAAAGGCCAGAGTTGGGCCAGAGGGAAACTTAAATAGGGCAGCTGGGAGGGGCAGGGAGGCCCAGGGCTGGGGGCAGTCTGAGCAGCCCCAAGCATACTCCCAGTGTGTATTAAAAGGACAAAGTGCACCCCCCTCAGTTCCTCCTCCCTTCTCTCTCTGCTGACACTGGGCCCCAGGGTGGGCGGGCTGGCCCTTGCTGGTCCCATCCCTCGCTGACCCTGCAGCACCGTTCACTGTCAAGTGCTTACCACTCCCCAGAATGCCAGCTCCACAGTGACAGCTGAGTGAAACAGGACTGGGGAGCCCTTAGCATGCTTGGATGAGCAGAGAAAAGAATGGCACATAGCACCCCCACTCTCCCCACCCCCACCTCCCCTCTCCCCCACCCTCACCTCCCCTCTCCCCCACCCCCACCTCCCCTCTCCCCTACCCCCACCCCCCCATCTTCTGAGTCCTCACATCCCCTTCTTTCTGTCTCCTTCCTCCCTTCCTCCCTTCCTTCCTCCCTTCCTTCCTCCCTTCCTTCCTCCCTTCCTCCCTTCCTTCCTCCCTTCCTTTCTCCCTCCCTTCCTTCCTTCCTTCCTCCCTTCCTCCCTTCCTCCCTTCCTCCCTCCCTCCCTCCCTCCCTCCCTCCCTCCCTCCCTCCCTCCCTCCCTCCCTCCCTTCTTTCTTTCTTTCTTTCTTTCTTTCTTTCTTTCTTTCTTTCTTTCAAGACGGAGTTTCTCTCTGCAGCCCTGGCTGTCTTGGAACTCACTCTGTAGACCAGGCTGGCCTGGAACCCACAGAGATCCCTGCCTCTGCTTTAAGGATGCTGGGACTAAAGGTGGGCCACCACCACCAGGTTGTTTTGTTGTTGTTGTTGTTGTTTGTTTGTTTAAATGGGAAACTGATACAGCTCAGGGTAGTCTTTAGCTTCTGACTTCCCTGCCTTTGTTCTCCAAATCCTGGCATTACAGGCATGGAACACCATTCCTGGTGCAATGCTAGGGGCTGACCCTAAGACTCCGTGGACGCTGGGCAAGCACTCTATAGCCCGTCACTCTTCCTTGTTTCCTGGTAACTCCCCCGCCCACCACAGTGGGTTCCCACTCACTGTGTCATGACCCGCCTTCTTTTAACACAAGTCCGTATTCTGTGGGGCCCAATGCGGGCCCTCTGTACCAGGGAGAGCCCTCACCCACCCCTGATGAGCTTCGTCTCCTACAGGTGTGGGTGAAAGTGACACAGATGGAACTTCTGGGCCTACAAAAGGGGAAGCCAGCTCCCA